GTTCAGTCCAAGGGTTGAACCTAGTGCTCTAATACCACTAATAGGAGGGTTAGGATCCATCATATGGATGGGCAAACCATGCAAGATGGTTTGGCAAAATTTCAAAAATTTCCTAATCCTTTTATTAATCAAATTCTTTATGTTTTGAAAAACTACATTTTTCAAGATTGGTCTTGCACTGAACCGGACCAAATTTGAAACCAATCAAAGAGGGTGATGTATACCTGATATGGATACCACAAATGCAAATTCCAAAGGTGGAAGTTCACACCCAAATCAGTCTTAAAACCAGGCTTCACTGAAGATGGCGTAGTGTATTTTTGAAGTCGGTTCAGCAACACAGTTTTTAACAAAACTGCAACCCATCTGCTTGGGTCGAACTAGGGAAGTTGAGCCTGATATCACCTAAATTTTTCTTGCAAAATTTAGAGGAAAAACTTATCTATATCAGTCCTAGATATCTGAGGTCGAACTGGGAAAAAACTGGGAGACAAAAGGATGTAGAGAGAACCAGAAACTGCAAAAATATGAAGCTGTCTTGGACTGGTCTACCACCTCCTCTTTTATAATCTCTTATAGAGGTATCTCCTAATCTAATTAGGAGATACTCCATATCTAAGTCAGATCTAGACTTTAATTACAGATATACATTATCTTCTTATAAGATTAGGCGCTCCATACCCAGATTTGTCCCATGTCACGTGACAACTTAATTAATCTTATTAATTATGGGCCTTAAGCCCATTAACTATAAGGGTCACGACCTAAGGGTGTTGCATGGCCAACTTAGGCCTGATTTGTATGGTGTGGGATCCCACAATGACCTCACATAAGTCCACATGGGTTCGGCCCATCCTCTGCGAAAATGCTTGCCTAAATTCACTATTAAACACAGTGAACCCCTAAGCACATCGCTGTGGGCTCAATATGGGCCCAACATTTACACTTAAATGATCCTTGAATTCAGCCATCCTATGAAGACCCAAGGATAATGGACTTAAATAAGATAACACCCATCAGGTTATCATCCCTTAATAGTCTCTTACACTTAACCTCTCAGCCCATAATGATTACAACACTACCCAATAGAGAATGACCTCTCCCCTGGTTATAAGATACAGTGTCACACTCTCTACTCGGATGGATCTCAGGAATTAAAACATTTTGCAAAATTTTACATAAAACATAATAAATATATGTCATAAATATATTTTGCAAAACTAAATTTCAAACACAATTGAAATCCACTACCGGCAGTTTAAGTTTCCATCAAAGAGAGTGTAAGCCTATCATTAACTTTGTCCGACAAAGGGGTCAATCTTATCACTATGATCACCCACTCAGATGAATTCTTAGACTACCTCAACATACCCAGGTTTTGACCCTCAATGGATCTCACTGATTGGCATATCAAAGACAACCCAATCCAACGCATGGTGCAATATCATAATCAAGTCTAGGGGTTATGTGTAACTTTCTACTTTTGCCCATCAATTTCCAAGGTCCAGGGTATAACTAGAAAATAGTTCGAGTTCGGTGTTTCAACCAAACACACATTACATGTGCTTTGGGTCTAACCCTAGCAGTTGAGACAAGCTGCCCCAACTTCTTTGGCAGCACATCAATGTCAGACTTGGTAGGATAAACTCTCCAAGTCTATCCAATGGCCAAAAATATTCTACACTAACACGAGTGTCATAAGTGTCCAGTTTAAGAGATAATTTCATAGAAACATACCAATGTCGACATGAAACACTAATGTACTTTTTTGCATTTACAATATATGTATTTATACATCAATCTGATTGAAGCTAAGGGCATACACTGTCTAACACATGCATGGTTCGATCCCTTCTAATTCCTCTTTATTTATAGACTTAGGAAGGCTGCAAAAGCTCTCTCTTAACATATTTACAACTCCTAACTCATTTAAGATAAGATTAAAGAGAGTCAAGCTCTCCTAAATTAGTCATTAGATTGGAATCAGTTCAACTAGTCAAATCCTAGTCTTACTAGACTTATTTAGCACATAGTTTGACTAGGATTCTTATGTAAGTCTCTTAATTATCCATTAGCACTCTATTAATTCTAAAAAAATTTATCCATTTAGGAGATTATAACTTGTATGGTGTGGGACCCACTATTTAATGGGAGAGCTAACATGTTACATGCTTTATATAAGTTAGTAAAGCTAACCACTTAAATTTTAATTAGCCATTACACGCTAATTCAATCATAGTTGTTATGGGCTGAAGAGATTATGCCCATTAAGTGTCTAAACACATAAAATCACTTGGAACCTTACCATACCAAAGGCCCAAGTCTATTGGTTCAGCATTATGTAATAACCAAGTCAATACAATCCAATTAATTACTTGTAATCAATCTCTCTGCTAAAAGCACTTGACACTACATTAAGGGAATGGCATTTTCCCTCTTTGTCTTTATGACATGATATCCAACTTCCAATCACCATTGAATCTTTCATTGAGGAATCAAATAATCCTACAGTTGGAAGATTTAGAACTCCTATGAGGAAGTTGTACAAAGTGTTCTCTATGTCTTAACATAGTAAAAGATCTTATCATATTGATCATCAGTCAACATACCATTCTTGAATGTCTTAACATACCCAAATATTTGACCCCAGAAGGATCTCACTGATTAGTATATTAAAGATAGACAAGTTCGATACTCAATCTAATATCAATATCAAATCTAGGGATTAGAAGCAACAACAATTTATCCTACCTATTAGAAAATCCAAGAATATGCTCGGTTTGGTCCAATTCAATGTTTCTTGTAAACACTCATTCTCATACCTTAGGTTACAACCCAGGCAACTAAAATCTACTACTCCACTACCTTGGGCAGAATGGCAACTTTATCAAAATAGACTTCCTTAAGTACATCTACTAGTTATGAAATTTTAAGACCATATTATAACAATCATGTAGTCTCATGCATAATACTTATATGAACTAAGGGTATTTACCAGAACAACCCAATGACACATGGAATAAACATTCTTTTATCTATACTACTTTTAAAAGTACAAATGAAGGTGTGGAACATTTTTTGACTAAAATTCCTATATTTGTGAATTTAGTCTTTCTCTAATTGTGAGGGTTGAAAATGTAATTTTAGCAATTACTTTTCACCACATTTAATCACCTCTCATTATGTTTTATATTCAAAGTATTGACTCCCATTTTTTTCATTAAATCCTATATTTAAGCTATTTTTTCACTAATAAATTCTACTAATTAAATCTATGTTCAATACTTTTAAGAATGTAAAACCTATGATTTTCAAAACCAAATCAAAAACAAAATCATTATTTCGTCCAAGTGGTAACTAAGAAATTCAACCATCTAAATTCATGACTAAATAATGAAAATTTTAAACCAAAAGTAGAAAATTTAGGCACATTTCATTAATCAAATTAAAGAAATATATGTGTGATAAATAAGAATTTCCTTTATTGATGATGAATATGAGATTCAAAATTTAAAACCAACAAAAAGAGAAATTGTTTTCTTATTTGGTGATGAGTCTTGATAGTTCAACTTCTAGATCAAATGTGTTAACCTTTATGTCATAATTAAATAATAAAAATTACTAAAAAGATGCATAAATTTTGCAAAAAACATTTAGGCACATGACTAATATTGTATATTCATCATATTAAACAAAAAATAAGTGTTATAAAAAATTATAGGCAAATTAAACACATCTATATCTACATTAAAAGTATGAATGAGCTTTTGGATCTTTCTTTTGACTAAAATGCCCATTTGAAAAAGTGTAATTTGATGTTTCTATTTACTACTTACTACTTTTCACCTCATTTAATTCTCTCTTATTAAATCTTACTTTTAAGATATCAACTTCCAATTTCTCTCATTATATTTTATATTATTATTATTTTCATCAATAAACCTTATTAATTGAATCTAATATTTTTAATATTTTTTTTTAAATTTGACCCAAAAATAAAACCTTCTTCAATGCACATGGTGGATAATCAATTCAGTCATCCAAGTCAAATGGGTCAACACATGATTTTATAATTGAATTATAAAAAAACAAACAAATTTTATAGAAAAAACTACACATTATTATTATCATCATTATTGTCTAAAAGTGCTTCCACACGTACATATTTATTAGTTCATAATAAAATATGTATAATGCATCCATGAGTTAAGGGCATACACAATGTCTAACAAAAGAGGAGATTTTTTAGTGGTGTTCTGTTTTAAGGCCCTTTAAAATTTGGTTTTGATGTTTTTGATGAAAATTTATGATGATGTTATCAAAGTAACACAAGTCCTCACTCCACAACCAATGATGGAATGACGGAACTATGTTCATTTTTACTAAGATACAGGTGAAGGAGAAAACATGCAAACATATCTTTAATGACTCGATATGAGAAACTTACAAAGTAACTAGACCCATTAACAAGATGGGTGCAATTACTATTTATAATTTAACTGAAATAGATGATGATTAGGTAAGGCATCCAACGATCGGAAAACAAATACAGTTGCTATTAACTTTGACAAGTGACTCTACAACCTCTACTAATGAAAATAATAATTATTTATTTATAGGATTTGATGATAATGCCCAAAGGACGCTTCAATATTATTGGAACATTGGGCCATTCTCTCATCAAGCTGCCTCTGCATAAGTTACAAATCTATTTCAATTCAATTCTCTTTCTGACAATGAAACGATACAAGTTCCATTCTTGTAGAACTACCATACAAACTTATTAGTTATTACACATTTATATCTAATTATCTATATCTAAACACAATTTTTTATTTAGAATAATGGCACTAGATTTCAGATTTCTACATATATTGCCTATATTGACATGTATCAATATTTTTGGTACCAATCATGCATCACTCTTGCAAGAAAATAGTCATCACAGTTGATGAAGTTCATAATCATAATATTAATAACATAATATAGCCATGAAATCATGATCAACTGAAAGGATTTGAGACTTGGATGAGATCATTAAACCATCACTTACTGATCCCTCATACAAGATCCTTGTCTTCACTTAAAATGAATCATTTATCCTCGACCTATTACTCTAAAGAACTGATCAGTCCCTTCCAATATTCAGATTTCAACCTCTGCAAGAACAGAAATATGCTTGGAAGAAATCAAGACTGATTTATTCCCTTGATATGAGTACAAAGATTCCAAATTGAGAAATTAGAAATGTATTTGTCTAATTTTATTAAAAAATGGAGTCATTCATCCGTGTTTCTACAGTTAAAAGTAGAGGGACTCTTCTGGGAAAATAGAGCCAGAATTTAAAAGTTTGTTGTATCATTTAAGCAAAACTGTTGGACTCCTTTATTCTCATCACTTCATCCATATTCATCAATTTCAAACATTGAATCCCTCTGCACGAAGGCAAGCAAGATGAGCCTCGATCCATTTTGTGCAAGCAGCTTCACCATGCTCCACAATGCACTCATCCCTGAGCCTTTTAGTGTTGGGGCAAGCACAACATATCTTTTTTGGTTTTGCGTTAGCCACAGGTGTTGCAGCTGATCCTTGATTTTTTTGCAGTCCAGGCAAAGTTGACGAAACAGTACATGTAACCCTAGCCTCTGCACTGCCCATATGGAATTTCTTGGATGCCTATGGAGGATCCTGATTAAAAGAGACTTCAGGTTAGAACAGTATGAGGGTAAGGAACCACAAGTTCACTCCATGAAGTGAAAAGTTCAGCAAGAGGTCAGCCAAATTTCAGAAAAATCTTGAACTTATAACATTTTAAGTCCATGGTAAACAATAACAGATACTAGTTAAAATATCTCTTTTGCAGGCATCTCTAATTTGAGCACAAAAAAATGGTTAACCTTCTGGGAAAGGAGACACAGTAAACCGATGTCCAGAGTAAAACCTCAGGCAATTAGATTCATGTAGAAGTATTACATATTTTCTTTTTCAATAATAAATGTATCAATGTCCACATTTCCCTTGTCAACCAGATGTACCATATATAGAGGAAAGAAAAATAACACCATTTCAGAAACCTATTTTTTTTGTCCTAAATAACTCTAAATATATGCCCAAAAAGAGAAGTTAATTTCATTTAAACTTAGTTCAAAGGATGCAGGTTGCAAATCCACTCCATTGGGTGAAACATCTTTTTCTTTTTTTCTCATTTCCTTTTTGTTTTATTAATAACAAAATCACTTTTAAAAAATTTTTAACTAAGAAAAGAAATTTCAAAATTTCCATAAGAAAACAAACTTCATCACCTGGAAGGACCACACCAGCAATAAACCAACTCCCATCTAGGAAGGGCTATTACCAAATGTTGGTCTCAGCAATCTGGGGTCTTGGGAGCAATGGACTGGTTACCAAATCCTTGACATTTTATGCATAAAATCAATTCCCATCTGTTAATGTCAAATAACAAATTAATACATAATAGCATCAAGGGCTTTACTATCCAAACGGATGGAATTCTCAACCTAGATGCCAAGGAATGGCCACAGTACTAGGTTAGGTAGACACAAAGACACCCCGTTATTGATGAAGGTGCAAGTCTTAGCAAAATGAGGTTTAATATCGTATTTGCATAAACTATTAGTTACACAATAGGTTGTATATCTTGCCTACCCGTCCTGTGCGTCCCCCCACCCCCCACCCCAATAAAAAAATAAAGAAATACAAAAACTGAGCAAGAACTTTAAATGCTTGAGTGCTCCCTTAATAAGATTTGTGTAGCCAACCCCAAATAATTGAGATTAAGGGTGAGCTGAGATCCATGTGCCCACTTGTTGGCAAGAAAGAAAATAATATTAGATTGTATAATAGCTGAAATATTTGTTAGTAAACATCTTTATATTTTCATTTGTTATTTTTTTTATCAATAACAGATTCATTCAATTCATTGAAATATCAAACTATTTACAGCAAGGAAGACAAAAACCCTTATCTTCCGAGTACAACTTAAATCCTCCAAAGAGAGAACCAAGGAAACAAAAGAAACAATTAAGTTACAGCTTAGCCCAAAACATTGCTTCCCTTTCTAACCCTTGCTTAGCTAATCCATCCGCCAAAGAGTTAGCTGATCTCTTAATCCAACGCATCCTGATTTCCATCTCCTGCACCAGCCACCTGAATTTCCTCTTTTCATTTCTGTAATTCCATAAGCCGCAGTTGTCATTAATCAGCCACCCTATCACCACCTCCGAGTCCCCTTCAATTATGAGTTTCCTGACATTCAACTCCTTGGCTTTCTGAACTCCTTCCATAACTGTCAAGATCTCAGCTCTAAGGGAATCCCCCACACCAATTGAGAGAGAGAACAGGGCAGAAATGACCCCATTCTCATCCCTAAAAACACCTCCAATCCCTGATTGTCCCGGGTTCCCCCTACAACTCAAATCAAAATTAAACTTTAAGAAGCCAGCAGGTGGGGGAGTCCAAGACACCCTTATTACTGGTTTGATCTTCAGTGCAGTTTGCAATCTCACCCTACTTTCTCAGCATGTCTTCCACTGTGTACTCTGTAAATAGCTCTAGTGATTTCAGCCACTGTACTGCCCTTATGTGTATCACAGCCTTCACATCTTCAGCCCCTCTCCCATTTTCTGAGAAGATCCTAGTATTTCTTTCTTCCCATAATGTCTAGCATACTACATCCCTTAGACCTCTCCACGTAGTCCTTCCCCTTTTCATGTGCCACCTGAAGAAGGGAGGGGAAAAAAGGCTCTGCAAGTCTGATGGAGGGTTCCACCTATACCCAAATAGAGAACAAGCCCACTCCCAAATTGACTTTGCAAATTGGCAAGACACCAATAAGTGAAAACCAGTCTCCCCATCCGCTTTGCAAAAAACACACCAATGAGGTGACAAACAAGTATTAGGTCTCTTCTTTTGGAGCAAATCCCCAGTGTTGAATCTTTCCAAATAGGCTTCCCAACAAAAACCACCAACCCTAAGAAGAATCGGTCTGCACCAAACCTCACTAACCGGGAAAGGGGAGGTTGCAGGACTAGTGGACTGGCAAAGGACTTTGAAGAAGGAAGCACAAGAAAAAGAGCCCGTGGGGGTAAGGGCCTAAATTCTACAATCCACCATAGAAGGGTCCAACAAAACATTATCAAAAAGATCAAAGAGGTTCGAAATACAATCAAGGTCTGAGTCCCTCACAGCCCTCCTCAGACCTAGGTTCCACCCAAACCCTGAACTAGAAGAGGAAGGGGTAATGAAAGCATCCCATCCATCTTGCTCCAGCCCATGTATTCTTGCCGCTATTCTAGCCCATAACTTCTGCCACTCTAGAGGGAACCTCCACAACCATTTCCCCAGAAGGGCTGAATTCCTTATCCCAATGTTCCCAAGCCCCAAACCCCCATAGTTTTTACTTCTGGTCACCACCTTCCAGCTAACCCTGTGGTCCCTCTTCTCCCCTCCCGACTCCCAAAGGAAATCTCTCATCAACCTCTCCAACCTACTAGAAACCTTCCCAGGAATCTTAAACACTGAAAGAAAATAAATGGGTAAGTTTGCTAACGTGGCCTTAATTAGTGTAATCCTACCACCTAGAGAGAGAATTCTTCTTCCAAGATACAAGTCTTTTTTCAAATCTTTCCACCACCGGGTTCCAAAAACTCTCCCTCCAAGGATTATCTCCTAGGGTCAGCCCTAGATAGTTCAGAGGCCACCCCAATACTTCACACCCCAGTACTTCTGCACTCTCCCTTAACTCTCTCTCCTCCAGATTCACCCCCACTACACAACTCTACCCAAAGTTCACCTTCAAATTTGACACCTACTCAAATAGCTGAATCACCAATTTCAAATTCCTTATGAAGCTCACATTACCTCCTTCACAAAACAAGATTGTATCATTAGCAAACTATAAGTGAGTGAGTGAGATGTTCTCTCTTCCAACCCTCCAACCTCTAATGAGACCCCTAGAGTCTACCCTATGGATCAACTTTCCCAAAACATCGCCAACCAGTAAGAACAAAAATGGAGATAAGGGGTCTCCCTGCCTTATACCCCTAGTGGTTGGGAAGAAATCCACCACTATCCCATTCACTAGAACTGAATAATGACAATTCCGAAAACAACTCATGATCCATTTACACCATCTGGCCCCAAACCCCATTTTGATCATAACCTTCCTTAAGAACTCCCAATCCACCATATCATAAGCTTTCTCCAAATCCAACTTATACACCACCCCCTTCTTTTATCCTTCTTGAAATTCTCCACACTCATTGGCAATGAGAATTTGATCTGTGATCTATCTTTCACTTACAAAGCCACCTTGATTTTGTTCAAATATTACTAGCAATACCCTCTTCAACCTCAAGGATAACACCTTTGCAATGAGCCTATACAAACTGTTTCCCAGACTGATTGGTCTGAAATCCCTTGGATGCAATGCTTCTTTCTTTCTAGGAATCAGAGCTATAAAAGTGGAATTCACCCCCGGATTAACAATTCCTCTCCTATGAAATTCCTCAAAAACCATGAGAAGATCATCTTTCAAAATATCCCATCAATCCTGATAAAAAGCCATTTTGAACCCATCCGGCCCTAGAGCTTTTGTTCTGTCCATTGAAAACACAGCCTCAATCTCCTTCAAGTCGAACTTCCTTTCCAAACTCCTCCTATTATCTCCCCCTACATTTGCCCAGTCTAGACCTTCAACCCACACCCTTCCATTTACAAGTCTTCTAGAATGGATTTAAAATGTTCCACACATGCCCCAGCTATCTCCTCTTGTTGAGTTAACTCAATTCCATCCACCACCAGTTTGGAAATGAAATTTCACTTTTTTCTTCCATCTACCAAAGAATGAAAGTACCTGGTGTTCCTGTCTCCCTCTTGCAACCATTTGCACCTAGATTTTTGCCTCCAACTTATCTCCTCCTTATGAAGGCAATCCTCTAACTGTCTCCTCAAGCCCCTTTTTCAATTCATTGTCTTCCTCTCCAAATTCTCCCCTTTCTTCTTTAGAGTCAAGGCTTTCAAGTTGGTCCATCAAATCTCTCTTTCTCCCATCTATCCTCCCAAACTCCAAAATATTCCACTCCTTAATCTTTGTTTTCAAGAATTGTAGTTTCTTATGAAATCACATCCCCTCCCATTCCACCAAGGGGTTACAGTCATTCCACTACTCCTTTACTCTACTGGTAAACCCGAAATGGAGTAACCACATGTTTTCAAATCTAAAGGGTGTGGGTCCTCCACTCCTCTCTTCCTTGCATAACACTATGGGCCAATGGTCTGAGGTCACCCTAGGTAGAGCTCTAGATGTCAAGTTCCCCCAATGTTCTTCCCAATCCACAGAAAACAGGAACCTATCAAACTTAGAGCATATGGGTCTATCTTGGAGATTTGACCAAGTAAATGTCTTCTGGGCTAACGGAATCTCCTTAAACTCAAAGGCATCCACAAACCTATTAAACTTCCTCATACTCGTTGTCACCCTCCGATTGGTCTTATTAGTTTCCTCTGGGTATCTGATCACATTGAAGTCTCCACCCACACACCATGACCCCTCCCACAACCCTCTTATATCAACCAATTCCTCCTAGAAATCCTTTCTCTCTCTGTAATCATTTGGCCCATAGACATTTGCAAGCACCCACACAAATCCATCCTCTTGCTGTTTGAACTTGATGGAAACTGAGTATCTTCCCGTCAGTTCCTCCAAACCTTCAACTACATCCCTCTTCCACATTGTCACCATCCCCCTGACGCACCCCAAGATGGGGCAGCCACCCAACAGATCCCCCTGGCTTTCCATACACTCTGTGCCCAGCTATTATTAAACTCCATTCTCTTGGATTCCTGTAACAATACTATGTATGGGTTGAACCTCTACCTCTTTTATTGTCTCTCTTTTCCTCGCACTTCCTAACCCCCTCACATTCCAACTTAGTATCTTCATTCTCACTTCTTTCTTAATTCCCTTCTGCCCTTCACCACTACTTTCCCCCTCTCCTTCTTTCCCCTTTTTCCCCAAACTTCCTGTCTCCTTCCACATCTCTTCTCAATCTTTCCACTTCACTCAATTTTCTCTTCTTTGCTTTTCCCTCTTTCCTCTTTTGCAGACCATCTTTCAGCACATTCAGATCTTCTAATCTGCATCCCAACTTCTCCACAAAATCCACTATCAAATCCTCTTGCTTAGATCCCCCCCCCCACAGCCCTCCCTACACACTCCCCTTCAACCCTATCCTCCTCTCCATAGGTCCCTCCCCTCCTCTCTCCTCTCCATCCTTCCTTCCTATGATGTTACCTCCCAACTCCTCTGTGCACTCCACAAATTCCTTCCCAACCTGGCCCTCCTTTCCTTCCCTCCCCTCCCCTGAGCCCTCCTCTCTTATGTCTTCTCGACCCTCTCTCCAAACTAAATTTCCTTCCACCTCATCAAATACTCTCTCAATAATCTCCCATGCTTTCTCATTTCTTAACCTCCCTTCCCGCTCCTCTTCACTAGTTTCCAGTCCCCTTCCCAAAACCTTAGAAATCTCACCACCTTGATTGGCTGCACATACATGGTCTACAGGTCATGGGTCGGGAGCAAAATCTGGAACACAGGGCACAGAAGACACATTAATAGCATAAACTAAATTTACTTGGTTACCTGGATTTGATAGAGGGGTTGGAATAAAATTGTTCCCGGACTCCCTTTCTTGATCCTGAGGTTGGTAAAAATCTATCTCCCTAAGTTGGTTGGGAAAACCATCTATCCTTTGGTCAACATGGTGATCTTTCCTTTGTACCCCTGATTCACCCCTATTTGGTGTTTTCCTTATTTGCTTCAGGTTTTCCTGATATCCCCTTTCTTGTGTTGCTTGCCAGATCTGAAGTCTTGAGAATGGGTTTTTTCGTGTACTGACTTCATTCTCATCTAACTTGTAGAGTCCCAAGCTTCTTTCTTCCTCTAGTCGACCTTCCTGGTCTCCCATTAACTCACTCTAAAACAACCATGCAATGTTCCATCCTCCCATGTCATCTACAGTATAGCCGCCTTTGTCATTCACGCTGCCAATACTGGTACCATCATATGTACCGCCATCTGAATCTTCTCCTTCATCTACACTACACATTACCAACCTTCGTCCACCTCCTCCTCTTCAGCTCTCCCTTGCCTACCTTGGGTTTGGCTTCTCTGAGAAGCGTCACCCTGGGCTCCGTTCCTCACTGGTGCAATGCAGGACCCACAGGAGGTCCCTTTGCTTGTTCGTTAGCCGCTGTTGCATGCTGTTCTCAACCCCCATGACCATTTGGGACGATAATAGACCCAAACTCCTGTCTATCATCCGTCCAAAGCCCTTCTCCTTAGCCTGGGTCACTTAAAAATAATTTTGGTTTGTTGTGTGGTTTGCCTGACCCCCCTATCAACTCGATCGGCTCGAACCAAGCTAAACTGCACCCTGGGCCACTCCCTTTCTTCGCCACGTCAGCAAAGGATAAAGAGCCCACCTTATCTTTAAGCCTTTCAAAAAGATTTGAATTAATTACTTTAATTGGCTGACTTGTCAATTGAGTTACCCCAGCCGTCCCATTAAATCTTTCCTTAAATTCCACCTGTGCCCCTTTTTGACCACCCTCTCTCTGCCCTCCACGTGTCCACCATCCTTCCAGCTCAACGTCTTCAACCTTGAATCCTCTTCCCCACCACACATGTTCGACTTCTGAAGCTACCCACACCTTATACCAGACTGCACCCGAGCAAATCTCGAAGCACCTAGGCATGTTTTCGTGTTTAACACCAGCCACCTGAACCTCGACGGCGGCCAAACTACGTCAATCGGCTTCCACCAAGACTCCTAAGCTTTGTGCTATATGTTCAAGAACAGAGTCCCGCCACAGGTGGAAGGGGAGACCTACAAGCTTCAGTCGAACGCAACCATCCTGCACTGCAACTTCATTACAGCTGGGACTCCAACTCTAGACCTGTATCAGACCTCCGTCCACCTCCACAGCTTTGAAGCTTAGTTCCTTGGTCACCTACATCCAGAATGGCTTTTGAATCTGTAAATGGAACCAGCAGGGCTTCATTTCCAAAACCAATCTCTCCGGCTACTGCATTCAACACTTTCTTCCAATCTGTCACTTCTTTATCGGCCTTCAAAACCATTCTTCTCCTCCATACATCTGTCCCTGCTCCCACCAGGATTCTCCAATGCACAGAAGAGCAAGCCACCACCACACCCTCTTCCAAGGTATTTTGAGCTTCTGCACTCCCGGTAGTTCTAATCGAAGCTGACTCCTCCTGATCCTTCCTACCCTGGTCCTTAGAATTTTGACCAGTTTCCTCCACTCCTTCTATCCTTCTTCTTTCCAAAGCTACAAGGAAGGACTGCAGCACCTTCCCGATAGCCGTCCACCCTTTCTGCATTCTCCCTTCCGGCACACAAAGCATTTGTTTTCCAGCTCTTCCAAAGAACTCCTCCACCGTGATGAACCACCCCTTCCAATTTCTTTTCAGTTCAATTGCATATTTCTTGCCTGGAACTGACATCGAGTTCTTCCAGCCATTCACCTTGCCGGAGTTGATAGCCCCATCTATAAAACCTTTCATCCACACAATGACATCCTTTGGTACCAATATTGTCACCCTGCTGTTCTCTCTACTTTTCAGTGCTTCCTTACCTTTGATCCGATCCTCCTCAAACTTGAAGGTCTTAGCTTCGATCAACACCTCAGACCTCCATCTTCCTACGGTTCTGAATCCCCTCTCCCCCTCCATCTTTCTCTAAGATCTAAACATTTTAATCAATCACTAGCATCTCAAAATATAAAAGTTCATCTATCTTTCATATTTAATAGAATTTCTTGATCCTTACATGGGCTGAAAAGCAAAAGAAAACTATCAGATTCAGTGAAGCCCAGGACTGACAGAAACATCCATCTTTATATTTTCATTGTTACTTTATAATATCACTTATTAAAAGATATAAAAGCTACTTACCCCGCATTTGGGAGTGTTTATCCAATGGGCTTTTTGTTCCTTTTAACATTGGAGAAGCCAAAACCCAATCAAAAGAACATTTGGCAAAAAAGCTCCAAATGAGCTTTTGGCATCAAAAAGACCTGTTTGAAAAAACAGGAAAAAAAAACTTCATTTAGCTTTTTATGTTCGCAAGAAGCTATTTTAAACAAAAAAAGCTGATGACCAGCCAAACACTAAAGAAGTGCTTATTCAAAAAGTGGCTTTTTTAGAAGCCCGTTTTAGGCCAGAAAGCACCCCCAAATGTGTCCTAATCCAATTTGACTCAAATATTTGTAATTTTCCAACATTCTTGAATTTCTTGTATCCTCCTTATTTTATCTATTTTAATTTTGTAAATCACAAGTTCACTAATTAGGTTATATAGCAAGAAAATATAGTTTCCAAGTTGTAAACTGCTGTATTATAACCATAAATGAAAGACTTTGGAATGGAGTAGATCAAATCTCAGCTTAATCCAGCTTGACAAATCTAATGAATTTAGATCATCATCAAGATCCATATGTTAAAAGTGAGCAGATCTGGATCCCATCATGTAGATCTGCACAAAATTTGACCTAGACCTGGATCTAAGAATAAATTTATTTTAATTTAAGATTTAAGTGAATATCCAATTTGAGTATGCAAATGCTATTTTGCAAGGCATACCTTATCAAGCAAATCCAACACGAATCTGAAGCCATCTCTAGTAAAAGGTTTACTTGTTCTTATAGAAATTCGTATTTGAGTAAAACCATTCCATATTCTACCTGCTTTCATGCCCTACCTGTAACAGTAGCAATAAGAACTTAGTTACCCATATGCATAACATATCTGACTCTAATTGGTAGGTTCCAGGTCATAAGTTCAGCCCAATTTCACAATTGGGTCATTTTCAGATTCATGGACTTGAAACCTGTTTGGGTTGAATTCATTTTTGAGAGGTCTTTCACTTGAAAATCACTACTACAGAAATGGATACCTAACTGGTGTCTATCTCCACATATTTATCTGTTATGTAAAGCAACTGAAGAACTAGACATTATCTACTAATCTCCTGCTCTTGTACTTCTAACACTTGGGAGCATTTTTTCTCTCTTTGGTTGCAGGTGGGGAGATGGGATGCGAGTAGTTTGTTTGATGGAATGGGGTCCTTGCCTGCTAAAAGGGGAAAAGTGTTCAAGGACATGTGTTAGGACTGCTACCCTTTGGTCCATATGGGAGGAGAGGAACACAAGGATTTCCAAGGAAGTTTCTCATAAACATAACGACAAGGCAGTGCACCAGACTAAAACATTGCCCCATTTCAGACATTTCTCAGTGAATGGCAGCACATCACAAATTCTTCTTCACCAATTGCTGTCCACCACTTGGGAGATCTATTGTGGTCTCCCATGCTAGCATTTTATATAAAATTGAACTTTAATGGTTATAGCATGGGGAAGACTGGGCTTTCTGAAATAGGAGGGCTACTCCTGCACCATGATTGGCTTAATGGAAATAGTGCTATTGCTGGTTGAGGGAGATTTAAAGGTCATAGTGGATTGGCTTAAGGAAAATAGATGATACCATAGCAGTATAGACATATTATGAGAGAAATCAGACACATTGCAAGAGAATTGGCACCCACCTTCACATGGGTTCAGAAATCTTGTAATTGTTAGGCAGACGGCTTGGCCAACGAAGGGGTCAATAGAGTAGAGATGTTTTGGGAAGTTATCTCAGCATAGCTTAATGATAATTTGAACTGAAATAGGAAGTGTGATTGGTCATAAAAAATAAAAACTGCAGGAAAAGTGGCAGAATAGAAAGAAAGATGCAAGATAAGAACAGAGAGAAGCAAGAAAAGAGAAAAAAGGGAGAAGAGAAAAAGGGCTTCGGCTGTTAGAGTTCTCAATGTTCTGTTAGCCTAACAGCTGCCTCACTACTATAAATAAAAGAAAGCAAACACAGATATGTGGGCTGTGTGGTCAGAAAGGAACAATTCGATTTTTCAGAAAAAATCTACTACTGAAACCGAGGTCATTAACCTGGCAATAGAGGTTTTGAGAAGTCGGATGTCTATACGATTTTTCAGAGCTTAGAATGCATATGTAGAGAATCAGGATGCAGACATGATGGAGGTCTGAGGTGTTGATCAAAGCTACGGCTGGAGAAGATGGAGGGGGAGAGGGGATTCAGAACCATAGGAAGATGGAGGTCTGAGGTGTTGATCGAAGATAAGACCTTCAAGTTTGAGGAGGATCGGATCAAAGGTAAGGAAGCACTGAAAATTAGAGAGAACAGCAAGGCAACAATACTGGTACCAAAGGTCATTGTTTGGATGAAAGGTTTTATAGATGGGGTATCAACTCCGGCAAGGTGAATGGCTGGAAGAACTCAATATCAGTTCTAGGTAAGAAATATGCAATTGAACTGAAAAGAAATTGGAAGGGCTGGTTCATCACGGTGGAGGAGTTCTTTGGAAGAGCTGGAAAACAAATGCTCTGTGTGCCGGAAGGGAGAATGCAGAAAGAGTGGAGGTCTGTTGTGAAGGTGTTGCAGTCCTTCCTCGTAGCATCGGAAAGAAGGAAGATAGGAGTGGAGGAAACTGGTCAAAATTCCAAGCACCAGGGTAGGAAGGATCAGGAGGAGTCAGTTTCAATTAGAACTACCAGGAGCGCAGAAGCTCAAAACACCTTGAACGATGGGGTGGTGGTGGCTTGCTCTCCTGTGCATCGAAGAATCCTGGTGGGAGCAGGGACGGATGTATGGAGGAGAAGAATGGTTCTGAAGGTCGATAAAGAAGTGACAAATTGGAAGAAAGTGTTGAATGCAGTAGCTGGAGAGATTGGAATTGGAAACGAAGCTCTGCTAGTTCCATTTACAGACTCAAAAGCTGTTCTGGATGTTGGCGACCAGGAACTAAGCTTCAAAGCTGTAGAGGTCGACGGAGGCCTGATACAGGTCCAGAATTGGAGTCCCAACTGTAATGAAGTTGTCGTACAAGATGGTTGTGTGCGACTGAAGTTTGTAGGTCTCCCCTTCCAAACTTGGCATGACTCTGTTCTTGAACATATTATACTGTACAGAGCTTAGGAGGAGTCTTGGTGGAAGCTGATAAACGTAGCTTGGTCGCCATCGAGGTTCAGGTGGCTGGTATTAAACACAAAGACATGCCTAGGTGCTTCGAGATTTGCTCGGATGAAGTTTGGTATAAGGTATGGGTAGCTTCAGAAGTCGAACACGCGTGGTGGGGAAGAGGCTCCAAGGTTGAAGACGATGAGCTGGAAGGATGGTGGACACGTGGAGGGAAGAGAGAGGGCGGTCAAAAAGGGGTGCAGGTGGAATTTAAGGAAAGGTTTAATGGGACGGATGGGGTAACTCAATCAACAAGTCAGCCAATTAAAGAAATTAATTCAAATTTTTGAAAGGTTTAAAGCTAAGGCGGGCTCTTTATCCTTTGCTAACGTGGCGAAGAAAGGGAGTGGCCCAGGGTGCAGTTTAGCTCGGTCCGAGCCGGTTGAATTGATAGAGGGGTCAGGCAAACCGCACAACAAACCAAAGTCGTTTTTAAGTGACCCACGTGACAAGGCTAATGAGAAGGGCTTTGGACGGATGATAGACAGGAGCTTGGGTCTATCATCGTCCCAAATGGTGAGGGGCGCTCAGAACAGCCTACAGCAGCGGCAAATGCACAAGCAAAGGAACCTCCAGTGGGTCCCGCGTCGCACCAGTGAGGAACAGAGCTCAGGGTGATGCTTCTCAAAGAAGCCAAACCCAAGGTACGCAAGGGAGAGAGCCAAAGAGGAGGCGGACGAAGGTTGGGTAATGTGTAGTGTAGATGAAGAAGAAGAATCAGATGACGGTACAGATGATGGTACCAGTATTGGCAGTGTGAATGATAAAGGCGGCTATATTGCAGGTGACATGGGAGGATGGAACATTGCAAGGTTGTTTCAGAGTGAGTTAGAGAAGAAAGGGGGCATGATTTGGGAGGCCAGGAAGGTCAATTAGAGGAAGAAAGAAGCCCAGGACTCCACAAGTTAGATGAGAATGAAGTCAGTACATGGAAAAGCCCATTCTCAAGACTTCAGATTTCGCAAGCAACACAAGAATGGACTTCACAACCAACTCAGGGAGATAGAACTTTACCAACCTCTGGATCAAGAAAAGGAAGCCGGGAACAACTCTATTCCAACCCCTCTATCAAATCCAGGTAACCAAGTGAATTTAGTTTCTGCTACTAATGTGTCTTCTGTGTCCTGTGTTCCAGATTCCGCTCCCAATCCATGTCCTGCAAACCATGTATGTGCGTCAGTCAAGGTGGTGAGATTTCTAAGGTTTTGGGAAGGGGATTGGAAACTAGTGAAGAGGAGCGGGAAGGGAGGTTAAGAAATGAGAAAGCATGGGAGATTAATGAGAGAGTATTTAATGAGGTGGAAGGAAATATAATAAGGAGAGAGGGTCGAGAGGACAGAAGAGAGGAGGGATCAAGGGAGGGGAGGGAAGGAAAGGAGGGCTGGGCTGGAAAGGTAATTGTGGAGTGCACAAAGGAGGTGGGAGGTAACATCACAGGAAGGAAGGAGGGACAGGAGAGAAGAGGGGAGGGACCTAAGGAGAGGAGGGAAGGGTTGAAGGGAAGTTTGTAGGAAGGGTTGCGGTGGGAATCTAAGCAAGAGGATTTGATAGCGGATTTTGTGGGGAAGTTGAGATGCAAATTAGAAGATCTAAATGTGCTGAAAGATGGTCTGCAGAAGAGGAAGGAGGGAAGAGCAAAGAAGAGAAATTTGAGTGAAGTGGAGAGATTGAGAAGAGATGTGGAAGGAGACAAGAAGTTTGAGGCAAAAGGAAAAAGAAGGAAAGGGGGAATGTAGTGGTGAAGGGCAGAAGGGAATTAAGAAGTGAGAATGAAGATACTAAGTTGGAATGCGAGGGGGTTAGGAAGTGCGAGGAAAAGAGAGACAATAAAAGAGGTAGAGGTTCGACCCAGACATAGTACTATTACAGGAGTCCAAGAGAATGGAGTTTAATAATAGTTGGGCACAAAGTGTATGGAAAGCCAAGGGAATCAATTGGGTAGCTGCTCCATCTTGGGGTGCTTCAGGGGGGATAGTGACAATGT